CACCGGGTCTGGGACTCAAACTATGGTCAACTACATGGGAGTCCAGTGACATAGCCATTACACCAATTACTGGTCCCAATATATTTTGTAAGATTTATACTTAAGTATTTTACTTTGGATGGTGCTAATGTAGATAATAATGTGCTTTTAATTTCAAAATGCACTTGTTCATTGCTACATGTAGGGAAGTGACTGACATTGATACTTTTGTATTTCTGCCGTGTAACCTTGCTATAATCACTTGTCAGTTCTTGAAATTGTTTTGTTTTGTTTTTGCTTTTGTCTATTCTTTCAGATATTCAACATAGACAATTATGTCATCTGTGAACAGTTTCATTTCTTCTTTTCAATATGCACATTTATTTCCTTTTCTTATGGTCTATTTACCTTCAGAGAGACACAAGCCTGTATCTTTCCAAACTGGAAGCCTAATTTATATTTTTAAATCATCACTTTTCTATGTGAAGTATCAATTACATGGGGTGAGAAAGAATATGAGGGAAGTAAACAGAAGGGTACTGTAGTAGGTAAAAAATAGTTGTGTTCTAAATGGGGTGGTAGCAATGGAGATGGAAGCAAATGAATAAAGATATTTTGGAGGTTAAAAAAAATAAGAATATTTAGGCCAGCTGGTGTCATGGTGGTTAAGGCAGCTGGATCCCACTGGTTGACTGTGTAGTTTGAGTGGCTTCAAAAACATTTGCATGTCTTCCCAGAGTCCCAAGAGGAGAATGGAGAAGAGAGGATTGTGAAATGGCCATATTCCTTGGGGAGTGCTTTCTTTCTCTCTCTCTCACTCTGGGGAGGACAAATACTCTATAGCAACCTAAAAAGATGGCATTAAAATTAAAAAGAAGGAACAAACTCAATGATATATTGACGGGAGATTTCCATCTTGAACAATTGAATGGACAGTAGTGCCACTTAGGTGTCAAAAATGTCTCCTTATATCTGCACCTGGAGCAAATATATATAATCTTTCTTAAACACATAGGCTCTGAGCTCCCTGATTTGGAATAGAATCACACACTCAGAAAAAATACATTTCATCTCATCTGCCACTACCAGTCTCTTAGATTTGTAACTGGGATCAAACTAAGGACTTTGTATTTGTGTGCAAATTATAGCCATTAGTTAAATGGAATCCCCTGAGTGCACCTAACCATCACAACAGGCCAAAAGGGTTCTGCTACTGGGTTCATTGATTTAGCAATAGCTTAAACACTATGCTAACTCTTGTATAACTAGTAATTGAATCACTTTCCCCATTCTCAGATGTCCCATAAAGATCTCCAGAAACTCAGTAATCATTGAAAAACAGGATGAATGATAGGCCGTGACAGATGTTTCTCCCTCCAAAGTTCAACATTTTATGGCAACTGATCAGTAGTTATCTAGCTTTCTATATTTCTATATTTCTATATAGGGGTTGCTAACTAGGCAGATAGATTGCTGGGCAGACAGGAAAGTTGGAATCAAATTGGCTTAAGTGTAGATTTCTATAATACAGGAGGGTAAATCAGGTATTTGTAGTCAAGTAGATGAAGACATGAATCCTTACTCAATTTCTAGCTGAGGTAAAAAGGTAAAACCACTTAATCTCCAGGAACCTTTGTTTATTCAAATGTAAAATATAGAGTATCACCATAATAGCACTGAGGTAAATCAAATACAATCTGAAATTAAAATGCTTTGTAAAGGCAAAACACTATGTATTTTAGCTGTCATTTTTACTCTCCATGATGCTTCTTCTGTTCTCCACTTATCACGTGGTATAGTATTATGGATAATGTAAAGGAAATAAAATATCTTACATCATCCTTATCTCTCTTCTCTGTGCTCTCTGAACAAAGTTTCACAGAGGTTGAACTTGCAGGCACCAAAGGAATGTTACTGTGAGGCACAAAGGGGATGACTCAGTTCTCTAAAGTGTCCCCAAAAGTTACAAGTAGAACGCTCATAGCTCCACTGCCACTGCCAAAAAGAGTCCAGCAGATATGTGCTTCTCTCCTTATACAGTGGACAGTTTCAATTCTAATCTCAGCCTTTTAGTTCCATCTGGCAACTTTTCTTGGCATCTAGAAAATTTTTATCACCTATAAGATAGCTCTTTTTCTTTTCTTTTTTGTTTTTTTTCTTTTTCTTTTTTTGGAGACGTTTTTGCTATAGGGCGCATGCGCTCGCCAGACAGAGAGAGAGACAGAGAGACAGAAAGCGAGAAATCATTCCCTCAGGGGGTATGGCCACGCCGCAATCCCTTCTCCTCCATTCTCCTCTTGGGATCTTGGGCACGCACGCACAAGCGCCCAGCGTGAGTTTTTAGTCACTGGGTCCGGGACGCGAACCACGGTCGACTACATGGGAGTTCAGTGACATAGACATTACGTTAACTGCTGGTCCCAAGATAGCTCTTTTTCTAGAATAGTACCCACCACTCTGACTTTAAGGCTGCCTCTGGGACAACTTGGATAACTTCCTCATCCCCAAAGCACAAACCTGCAAACCTCCACAAAGGATAGACAGACCCATACTAAACTTTCCACCTCAAGTGTTTTATGTTTCTGTTGCAGTCACACCTTCCCAGGAATAATGAAAATCATGAATTCAGTCTTTTAGTGTTCTAATTAAGTACTTTAATTAACAGGATTTGGTACCTAAAACATAGGCCATTCAACATTTTCTTCAGTATCACTATGTAGTAACTTGGAGTACTGGATTTCTGAGGAGCTTCTGGCTCCAGAGGTTATAGAAGCTTATGACAGCAACAGGTAGTCTACTGCCAAGGTGAATCAAAATTCAATTAGGATTCCCAATTCCCACTCTATCTTCAATTCCCTATCATGCCTATGTTTTTAGTTCTTAGTTTAGATGTGGATTATCACAGTTCATTTGGCCTCAATTAAAAGTGAACTTATCAAAATCCTGGAAAGCATTAGAAACTCAATGAATTTTTCTCCTGGAATCTACTTTGTGAAAAGGATCAGATTTTTAAATTTTTTTTTTTTTTGAGAGGTTTTCCCTATAGGGCACGTGCGCTCGCCAGACAGACAGAGACATAGAGACAGAAAGCGAGAAATCACCCCCCCAGGGGGGATGGTCACGTCGCAGTCCCTTCTCCTCCATTCTCCTCTTGGGATCTTGGGCATTCATGCACATGTGCCCGGCGTGAATTCTAAGCCACCGGGTCTGGGATGCAAACTGCGGTGGACTACATGGGAATCCAGCGACATAGCCATTACACTAACTGCTGGTTCCCTGAAGCGGATCAGTTTTTAGGAATTTCTAGACTTCTAAACATCAAAGAATGCTATAATCTAGCTGTTGAAATTTGTGATGTAGGATACTAGGGGGCTCACCTAGCCCCAGATGTCCAGCTGTATCAAAGAAATTAAAGAAAAAGTGAAATCATATCATTTCCATGTAAATAAATAAATGAAGAACTACCCAGATAAGTTTGATTTAATCCTCTGCCTCTCTGCCATCCATGTCCCTTTGACATTGGGGTTAGGTGCTGAGAGTGCATTCCAGAGGTGCTTCCTGATGATATCCTCGGGTTCCTACTGTTACTGCTTAAGAGACAAAAGCTTGAAGCTGTCATCCAGGATGGATCTCCTATTGCGCCGAAGCTTTCTCTGCCGATGCTGATACCAGACCACACCACCAAGAACCAGAGCAGTGAGCAGGAAGATGACACCCGTGGCTATCAAAACATATGTCAGAATTTCCACATTCTTTACAGGGATCTGCATGCCCAGCATCCTCAGATTGACTTCTCCAATATCTTTGGGAACTGCTGCTGAAATGGAGTAAGAGGAAAATGGACACCATGAGATGGGGAATACAATAAAGAGCCACATTTTATAGTCATTTCCTAGAGAAACAAATCCATCCAATATGAGAGCAGACCTGTCTCTATCCTTCAAAAGACTAGCCAATGAAAACAGATCCAAGAGTTATAAAAAATCAGATAAACAAGATATCACCACTAGAATAGTCCTCGGGAATCTCTGAGACCCCAATCTAACTTGGAAAGAGCGCTAAGACTCAGAGTGGGATGGCCAGCCATGGTAGTGCAGTCGTAATGTAATACAATGCTTGGCAATGCTGAAGTCACATGGAAAGGTGCTAGGTTTGCATCCTGAGGTTTCCCCATGCAAGCTGTGTGCATGTGCTCATTTCCGTGATCCTATCTGGTTGCAGGTGGGAGTAGAATAACAGTGTGAGGACTCTGTTTGGGATGTCTGTTTATCTGTTTGTCTCTCTCACTTATTCAAAAGAAATAAATATGCACATATATGTTATTTTGAATAGGGACACAAAATAAACTAATTGAAATACACAAAAAGAAATACAGTCTGCATCCCCAAAACACCACCTCACCTTAACTCTCCTCACCCCCTCCAGGTCATAGCCTAGTCTCCTGGTTAACAGTTCATAAGATACTTAAGCAGATCATTATGACTTCTCCAAACACCACTGAAAAACCTTCAGACTAAGCTAATGATCTCTAATGTCCCCTTAAGCCATCATAACTTTCTGAGTCTTTCCTAGTCTGGGTGCAAATGAGGTGTCAAATAAAAACATTATTTGGACCTAGACAGCACAGGGCTGGAATCTATTTTTTTAAGGGTAGAAATGGCTGGTTCCAAAGGTTCAACTGCTTGGTATTACATAGATAAAGGGGAAAGAGGCAAGAATAAAAATAGCTGTTGAAAACTGTGTGACATTTGTTCTAGTCTCACATTGTCCCTATGGGGAATCCATGTATGTGCTACAACTCTTTTCATGCCCAACCCAGCAGTATCAGAACTTTTTTCTTGATTTCACATTAACTTAGAGGTTAAGATGGTAGCCTCCACTTGATGATAAGACTTTTTCCTCACAAGTCAGGAGACTGGGGCTGGGCTCCAAAGAAAATAAAACTGCTGAGAGAAGCTAAACTTTGATTGCCTGGTTTCTGAGGGCCTACAAACATTTTAGGTTGCTTCCTGCTAGCATTGTGATGCACTCCTTTTAGTCATATGAGTTTTATTTGCTGGAGATACCATATATACACATCTATCCACTTCCCCTCATATACATATAACTACCCAATTTATGTTTCACTCTACTCACCTTTTTCAATCTCTTTGGTGATGGTGGTGATAGTACTTGAGGGTCCTAGGGGAATAAAAGATAGGTTAACCCTGTTATTCTTCTTACCATTCCATAGGCTCCTTGTAGAGATTAGTATTGGTTGGGAGTATTTTTTTTTTTTTCTTTTCTTTTCTTTCTTTCTTTCTTTCTTTCTTTATTTTACATTTTTTAATACATTCAATCACATTATTTAGCTTACAAGGTGATCATTTCAATATATTTCTTTGCAGTATAGTAAGCAAAATGAACGGTGAATTTGCTACTTTATTGTCAAAATTAATATTGGTATGTTGATTTAATTTTGAGTAGTAACATAAAATAGAGACAAGAGCACAGGTGTAGGAGTCCAGAATGTAACTCACCCCTTTGTCGTTATTTACATATTTCTTGGTACATCCTCTATCACCATTATTGCTCTCTTTCACAATTTCCCATTCTTCCCTTTAGGAAGCCCCTGCTCCTTGTTAAATGAACTTCCCTATATGTTCAACTTATTTTCAGGACACTTCTCCTTGCTTTAATGAATCTGGAGTCTTAATTGAAAACTGTGAGTCATTTACACCTTCTCAATACTGTTTTGAGGTCATTATTCATCTCCCCTTTGTAAGAATCTATTTCTTTTAAGGATCATATTATTTGATTAGAAAAAAACACAGGCAGGCCAGTGGCGGCATGGTGGTTAAGGTGACTGGATTCCATATGGCCAACTTTGCAGTTTGAGTCCCAGATCCAGCAGTTTGAAAAACAAAACAAAACAACAACAAAACATGCCAGGTGCATGCACATGCATGCCCCAAATCTTGGGAGAATGGAGAAGAGACTGTGGCATGGCCATCCCTCCTGGGATGATTTCTCAATTTCTCATGCTCTCTCTCACTCTCTCTTTCTGTCTCTCTCTGGTGATCACATACACACTGCAGAAGACAAAACAAAACTGAAATAAAAACCAAAACCAAAACTAGTCACTTTTTGTTATTGTTACCTGGCAATTCCAGAGGTTCAACTGCTTGGTACTACATGGACTACATAGAAGTTCTTAATATCTGGCTGTCTTCCTCTTTATCAATTTCCACAATGAATGTTCAACTGTTCTACTCTCAAGCCTCACGGTGTCTGGATCTCTTTATTCCAATGACTTTAATATCTACTCCAATTCTACTAATCACTCTCATAGTCATGTTAGACTTGTCCAGAATTTCTCCATCTCAGAAATTTAAATTTTAATAACAATATTCTATCTTTTCAGTGAACTAATATTCTATATTCTAAAAATCTATTATTTCTCCCTCCATGGAATCTTTATTTTCTAAACCCTTCCATTTTTCTCTAACATACTAGCTTCATCCTTTCTTTTCTTACATCCTGGGTTAGGTTAACTCCATAGTTTATCACTCCAACAAACTAACTTTCCAGAAGTGTTGCAATCATTTGCTGAAACCCCAGTAACTGCACTTTCCCTGTATTTTGTCTGTTGCTAAAGGTTACTGGAGAAAACTGCACAAAAATAAACATTATTAGTCTTTGTGTCTAACTTCAGCTAAGCTCTCAATGTTGCTTGGCAACAATTACCTGATTAATTAATTTCCCATCCTCAATGTGTCTATTTCAAAGCTTTGCCCACTTTTTTCTAAAGCCTTTTTTCCTACCCTCTACCCTGTACTCTCAGCAGCTGACTAATCCCTCCATCACAAAAGAAACAGAAACCATAAGACAGAGATTCTATGCCTGTCAAGTTCTTCCCTCCAGACCTACATATTGATTCTTATTTTTTTCTCTTCTCGCTTCTTACAGTAAAAAGATTGCCTTTCTTAAGTATTCCTCAAGGTATTCCTTTCTTGGGACCAGTAGTTGGCATAATGGATATGTTGCTGGACTCCCATGTAGTCAACTGTGGTTCAAGTCCCAGACCTGGTGGCTAAAACTCACACTGCTCATGGGTATGTGTATGCCCACGATCCTGAGAAAAGAATGAAGGAGAAAGGACTGTGGCACGGCCATCCCCCCTGAGGGGTGATTTCTCGCTTTCTGTCTCTATGTCTCTCTCTGTCTTTTTGGCGAGCGTACGTGCCCTATAGCAAAAAAACCTCTTTCTCCCCCCCAAAAAAACGATAGTCCTTTCTTACTGCTGCCTCATCAGAAACCTTTTTCCAACAATTAGTCCTTTTCTCTCGATCAACTTTCAATTATTTCTTTCAGTTGGTACATATGGGGTTAAAGCAATACAAAATTAGATCATTATGAGGTATAAACAAGAAAAAAAAAGTAAGATTATGGGCTTGCTCATTGTCACAGAGCTATATGAGCTATCTTCACTCATGGAAATGTCCTGATGATAGGTATTGGGATGTTCTCAATATTACATGGCTCATATTTGAGGTTAGTCATTATTGCATATAGAAATAACTTCATGTCTTGGATTTATTGTGCCTTGGTTACATATCAATTGATCACTTTATTTTTGTTTTAAGGATTGACAGAACAATAGAGAGGCAGGACATTAGTGAGAAGCAGATATGGCTTATTACCTGTTGATGATGACATGTATAGTATTCTCAACTAGATTGGTCTGAGAAGTATTTCATGATGGGTAAAGTATTTTTATAAGCAAAATGAGAAATAGTGATTGACTGTTTTAAAAAATAATTAGAATAATAATAATAATAATTGGGAAAATCAAAGAAAAGATATTAAATGTTGAAGCGGGGAGATTAATGTCTCTGTATTGACTGACATGCATGGCATTCCCTTTTGAAAAAGCAATGTAATACACTGTAAAGTTATATGTAATCCAATGTAATATAAAGAATATTATGATGATAATAAAAATAAAAATCAAATCAAGTCAAAAAAAGGATTGACAGAACACAACAAAAATTCTGTACAACTGAGTGCTAGGAAATACTACTAGAGTAGTAAGTGGAAATAATCTAGCAGTCTGGGTTGCTATAGAACAAATATTTTCAATATATAGAGTAAATCATAATGTATAATAATTTCTCTCCCTTTCTGGGGGTAAAGAGTAGAGTTGCATTCTCTTTCCTAGTTTGCTAAATCTTTTTGAATGGCCAAAGATATTTCCCATTCTCTTTTCCTGCTTATAGAACACCAACTTCAATACCACCATTTTTTCAAAGCAGTATGACATTAAAAAAATATAAAAAGTGCAGGAAAAAAAATAGCCTTCATTCTTATGGGCCCCAGGAGATCTATAGGACTTCTTGGAAGGAGATTAATACCAGTAACTGGACTCAGCTCAACAGGCATAATACATTATGCATAATAAATGAGACACTTAATCTTTTAATGACCCACACACACTAAAGCCAACACATTCTATTCTTCTACAGTCTTAGTGAAGAACAAAGGGTTACTGGTAAAGAAACTGTCTCAACTATTTCCTCTCCATATAAAAATTACAAGAAAAAAGATTTTCCACCCTTGGTAACAACTCTTTCTGGGATAGGTTGTAATTAAAGTACAATATTTTTCTATCCTTAGACAGGATAGAAAGAACTGCTTTTCACAGCCCCCAGAAAACATATCAATCAATTATTTTTTTGAATGGTTTTTCATTTCTTAAAAGAGTAAGACTCATTAGACATGAGAAATTGATGTAAGTGTCTCTTGGAGGCTGAACCCTCTGACCACCTGCCCAGAGACTGAGATTTCCAGATATCTTCTCCCTGCACACCCCCACCCCCCAAGAGACTGAGTACTCTGTACACTTTTTTTTTTCTTTTTTTGGAGAGGTTTTTTGCTATAGGGCGCCTGCGCTCGCCAGGCAGACAGAGACAGAGAGACAGAAAGCAGGAAGTCACCCCCCAGGGTGGATGGCCACGCTGCAATCCCTTCTCCTCCATTCTCCTCTCAGGATCTTGGGCATGCACGCACATGCGCCCAGTGTGAGTTTAAGCCACCGGGTCCGAGACTCGAACCGCGGTCGACTACGTGGGAGTCCAGCAACATAGCCATTACGCCAACTGCTGGTCCCTCTCTGTACACTTCTTCAGAGACAGGATACTCTGGGCATACCTCTTGGAAACTGAATAATTTCCCCCACTCCAGATATTGACCTTCTTCTTCCCATCTGTAGCTACCACCAAGGACCCCACCCACGCACCCATCTCTATTTCAAGCACTGTGTGGGCACCCAGAGTCTGCAGAGAAAAACTCCTAACAAAGAAAATCTCAAGCCAAATGGCTTCACTGCTGAATTTTATAAATCTTTTAAAGAACTAACACTAATTTTCAAACTACACCATAAGATCCATGTAGAATAAATCCTCCAAACTCATATTATGAGGTCGCCATTACCTTGATATCAAAAACATATAAGGACATTCAAAAATGGTCACCAAACTACAGACCAGTATCCCTTATGACATCCACAGAATAGTAGAAAACTTAATTTAACAGTACATCAAAAAGATTATACACCATGAGCAGTAAGATTTATCTCAGGGAGCCAGTGGTGACATGGTGGTTAAGGCAGCTGGATCCCACATGGCTGAACGTGTGGTTTGTCCTACACCAATGGATCAAAAAACACACTGGGCACTTGTGTGCACTTATCCAAAATCCCAAAACAAATCAGTCAGCTTTCTTGTACAAAAACAACTAGCTTAAAAAAATTAAAAAGTGATCCCATTTATAATAACTACAAAAAAAGTATATTAGAATAAATTTAACAAAGAAAGTGAAATATCTCTACATTGAAAAATATAAAACACTGATGAAAGAAAAGGAAGACACTAAAAAAAAAAGTAAGATATCTCATGTCCATGAATTGAAAGAATCAATATTTTTAAAAGATGATACCACAGGGACCAGCAGTTAGTGTAATGGCTATGTTGCTGAACTCCCATGTAGGCAACTGCAGCTTGAGTCCCAGACCCAGTGGCTTAAATTCATACTGGGTGTGTGTGCATGCATGCCCAAGATTCCAAGAGGAGAATGGAGGGGAAAGGATTGTGGCACGGCCATCTCCCCTGAGAAGTGATTTCTCACTTTCTGTCTCTCTATATCTCTCTTTCTGGCGAGCACATGCACCCTAGAGCAAAAACCTCTCCAAAAAAAAAAAAAAAAATGATACCATACAGTGATATACATTCAATACAGTTTCTATCAAAATACCTTGGTAGTCTTCACAGATATAGAAAAAAAATATTATGGAATTAGAAAATAATATGAATAGTTAAATAAATTATACACCAATAGTATAGAATAGAGTATATGGAAATAAATTCTCAAACATATGGTCAGTTGATTTTTACAAAAGTCTCTAGATAATTCAGTGGGAAAAACATTTTCTTTTCTTTTTTCTTTTTCTTTTTTTTGGGAGAAAGACAGAGAGACAGAAAGCGAGAAATCACCCCCAGGGGGTATGGCCGCACCGCAATCTCTTCTCCTCCATTCTCCTCTCGGGATCTTGGGCACGCACACACATGCGCCCGGCATGAGTTTTAAGCCACAGGGTCCAGGACACGAACCACAGTCAACTACATGGGAGTCCAGCAACATAGCCATTACGCTAGCTGCTGGTCCCAAAACATTTTCTTTAAGAAGTCATTCTGGAAAAATTGAATATCCACTTGCAGAAGAATGAAATTAAATCCTCATCTTTCAAAAACAGATTAAAGATTTAGGTGTAAGATCTGAAACTATAAAATTACTAGGAGAAATGCTTCAAGACATTGATCTATGCAAACATTTTTCAAAGACCTCCAAAGCACTGATAGCATCAACAAAAACAGACAAATAGGATTATAAGCTCAAAAGCTTCTGCACAGCAAAATGAAGGTGCAGAGTGAAGAGACAACCTACAGAGTTGGAGAAAATGCTTACAAGTTGCACAACCAACAGGGAATTAGTAACCAGAATATATAAGAACTTAAATTGCTCAGCAGAAATATAATCCAGTTAAAATATGGGCAATTCATCTAAGCAGACAGTTCTCAAAAAAAGACATGAATTTCTAACCAGCATATTCAAAAATGCTCAACATCACTAGTCATCAGGGAAACTCAAATTAAAACGTCAGTGAGGTATCACCTCATCACAGTAAGAATGGCTATTATCAAAAGACAAAGGTTAACAACTGCTGACATGTTCGTAGAAAAGGGGAAATCTTATGCACTATTGATTGGTATGTTACTACTTACAGCCATAATGGGAAATAGTATGCATATTTTTCTGAAAACTAAAAACCCTATGGTATGGGCTCACTACTGGGTATATACCCAAGGGAAAGGAAATCAGTATGGTGAGAAGGTATCTATTCTCCTATGTTTATTATAGTGCTATTCACAAAAGCTAAAATATGGAATCAATCTAAGTTGCCCAACTATGAATGGATAAAGAAAATGTGGCATATATACACAATGAAATGCTAGTGAGCTAAAAAAAAAGGTGAATTCTTGTCATTTGATGCAACATGGATGAACCTGGAGGAATAGTACTAAATGAAATTATGTCAGCCACTAAAGGACATACAATGTATAATCTCATTCATTAGTGGAAATTAAGATTTGATTGTGTAGAAGGGGTGAGCGTAATGGTGGATACCAGAAGTTGGAAAGATAGGGAAATGGGGAGAACTTGGTTTTCAGATGCAAGGGTGCAGATAGGTAAGAAGAATATCATAGTCATAGAGTACTATTTCACAGCAGAATAGCAATAGTTGGTGACAATCAATGTGTACTTCAACATATTTAGAAAAGTAGATTTTGTATGTATATAACATAAAATAATAATAAATGACTGAGATGATGAATATGTTTATTGCCTTGATTTGGTTATTATACAACATATGCATGTTTTAAAAACCCAGCTTGTATCCTATAAAAATGTACGACTACTATATGCAAATTATACATTATAATAGATACTTTTAATATGACCCACTAGCAATATTTGTTGAAATAGTACTTCTAATACATTCTAAATAATAAATTTATATATCAACTAAATTTTTTTAAAGGAAGAAAACCTGTCATGGAACCCAACCAATTTGTGTCTGGGTCAACCTATGTAATCTCAAAGATGTCAAAGTAATTAGGAGAAGGGCATGCATCATGGGAACAAATGAAGAATGAGAATTGGAAGAATATCCAGAGGGGAACCATGCTCGGTCTTAAGACCTGGTTCTTAAGGAATTAGAAGAAGAGGTGTAAGACACTTCTTGGTATTACCTGATTCTTACAGATAAAGTGCTAAAAGATATTACTTGCCCATCTCGAGCAGTAAGGCCTTACCTTTTGGGGATAAAACAGTGAAGAGGGTCTCCATGCCAGCATGGACATGGTCAGTCACATGACAGTGCATAAGCCATGTCCCAGGGTTGCTTGCCACCATCTCCACGACTTCAAAGGTCCCTGGGAAAAGATCCACTACATCTGCTCGGTAGCTCTCTCCATTCTGCAAGAAAGATTAGGTGTGGGGAAGAAGTGAAGGGTATAAAAATCATCTCAGTATTTGTAGGACTGGAAGTCTATGGTGTCTACATCAGAAAGACGGAACATCAAGATTCCTATACCAGAGTGTAGTATTGAAAGTTCACTTTTTCCATCTCTGTTATAAATGCATCCTCACAAACTAAATCAATAGAAGAACTCTATCCTCCTCCTTTTTCTTAAACTTTCACAAAGTAAAAGATAATCCAGATTCCATTAGAGGGCTTACAGCTAGTATCTCCATTCTTTTAGCAGGCTGAAATCTGAGGAATCTGACTTAAACCTTGATCCCTAAGAAGCCACATGTTTCCTTTAGAAATGGATTAGATCCATGTATTTACTTTAGAAATGGATTAAACTTAACTTTTTGGCCATAACTTTCATCAACACTTTCAGATTTCTAAGTATATAAGAACTCTGAACTCTACCCCCTTTTCCTAAGACAAAACCTTCTTTAAATTCTCCATATTGCTCCATGTAGTGTCTGAATAGATGCTCATCTGATAATGGATTAAAGATTTTCAGATTCTGAGATGCCACTATGATACTTTTAATCACTGCTCACTGAGTCTCACATCCTTGGCTGAGACTAAATTATATTGATTCTTTCAATCTTCTTACCTCTTACATGTGCCGTTCTTCTTTTCCATATCAGAAGGAAAAGAAAGTCTAGACGGAAGTAACTGATCCTGGGACATATAGCTGGACTAGAATTTGTGATTCAGCATTATTCAATGGCTGTTAAAGCACTCCTCTAATCACCCCTGAGGGATTCAGCCCCTTTTCCAGCTCACCCGATAGAGGAAACTTTCTGCATGGAAGTGGACAGTGTGTAGGTCAATATCTTGGCCCATGGCCAGCATGTACCAGGCCACTCGTTCTCCTTGGTACATAGTAAGACCTCTGAGGTTGGCATAGAGCTTCCCATTGATGGCTGTAAAAGAAGAAAAAAAGGCTCTTGCATCTTTCTTTTTGACTCTTATTACTATAGACTTAAATTAAGTTCCTATCCTCTCTCATGATAGAAATAGGCATCTATGTTCCACTTGTCTCCCTGCAATTTATCTTCCAGATTGACATTACCAGGGTGATCTCTCTAAAGTAATCTGATCAAGTCACTCTGCTATTTAAAGTATTTTAATAGCTATTTCTTGCCCAAAATATTAAGTCCATGGATCTGTAGCCTATCCAGTATGGTTCTTCATAATATAGTTCCAAATCACCTTTCCAGATTGATCCCCTACTACCAAACACATTTATTCCAATTAGGGTGATTTCTTCACCATTCCCCACATAGTCCATGCATGTTCTTTGTTTCCTTATATTTCTGAGTTTCTCTCCCAGAAATCCTACCTCATTTTAACTGTCTTTTTGAATCCCAAACTTTTACTTCCACGAAGACTTTCCTGATTTCCTAGTTTCTCTCCATACATCTAATTCCCTGGTTCTATTAAACTTCTGTCTGTTCTTTTACTTTTACCATGGAGCAACGAATTAGTCTCTTTGTAATTGTTCTCCACCAAAATTTCCATTTTTCTTACAATGCTATTAGGCATGGAATGCTTCACTCTCTATTCCAAATAAAGTTAGTTCTCTCAGGCAGAGCTAGGAGTTCTTAATACTCATGACTGAACTTTTTCCCCTATGCAGACCTTCTGTGTCACTGCACCAGAGTTGAATATAGCAACTCACTTTTTCATGTGTGATACCGTTCCTCTGCAAGTGGGCACTGGAGAGTGGTAGTGGGCTCTGGTCCTATCAAAATACCCTTTCTGGTGTGGAACCTCAGTTCTATGAAAAAGTATTCCCTTTAAGTAATTGGAACTCATCCCTCCAATGGCTCATTGGAACTCATCAGAAACTGTCTTTTGTATTTACCTATGTGTTTTTTAAGTTTATTTTGTTCATGGTAGGGAGTATGTGTTCACACGAGAGAGAAAGAGAGAAGCACCCTTGGCAGAGTCTCATTATGCCATGATCCCCTTATTCTAGCCCTCTATTCTAGTTTAGGGCCTTGGGCACATGTGCACACATCCTGCATATTTACAAGCTGACATAGGGATCTGAAATTGCAGTCAGTCATGTGACTTACAGCACTGCAGTTCAGTTTATCACCTACTGGGATGCCAGTGTGGGTCCATTTACTTAACCTTTAACATGTAGAAGCATATATACCTCACTAGGCTTTATGTTCCTAGAAAGCAGGAAGTATATGTATATACTAAAGTATTATAGTTTCCTTATATATATATTTTTTCAGAATATAAAAAAGATACCTAAGCATGAGATAAATGTTTAAAAAAAGACTTGTTACATTTGTGGAATTAATAATTCTATCAATGCATGGGCCTGATCATCTGTCTCTTTTTAGGCTACATTCTGTTCTTTAAAGACATCAAACTATTTATTGTCATAGTAATGACTTTGTGCCAGACAATATCCCTCTACTACTCATAGAGGGGAGGTAATTTCCACTTTACTCCTCAAGAGGGTAAGCAATGGAAGGGACATTTATATTCTATCTCTGTGTCTATCTGCACCAAATTGTGAATTGAAGAGAAAGAACTAAACACGCTTGATTAAGCCCTTTCTAGATCCTCTCTCTTTTTTCCTCTCTTTCTCAGATTAGTCTGTCCACAGGAAGGGATACAAACTCATTTATTATTTCATTGTGGGTAGGATTCTGTCCTGTCCATGGGGGAAAGTTTTTATTGTCTATATCAATGACAAGGCATAAAAAATCTATCCATTGCAAGGGAAGTAAGCCCAATAGTTGCAGAACTATAATAAATTCTGTTTTTCAATTCACTTTCTCAGTAAAAAAGCTCATACTTGATCTTAAACATTTCTCTTCCTTAGTTGGTTTGGGAATTTAGAAGGAAAGGGAAGTTTTTTGTTTACTTAACTTCAAAGCCCAACATTATTTTTATTTTTATCTCCAGTGTCAGTACTCAGAAAGTGCTCAACAAATACCTCTAGATAGGTAGATGGTCTGGTACCTGAAGAGTTTAGATAAATGGACACATAAGCAAACATATTAAAGTTGGCATTAGGCAAATCCCTGCATTAGCAGGACCTAACAGTGCCTTTATTTCCTTTTTGTCCTGGGTTGTTTATTTCCATAGTATGACAGGACATTAAAAGTTTACTTTGCAAATTTTATGAATATCTTTTCTAATGTGAATCACTTATCTCTCTTCATGAAGGAGGCAGAACTACAAAAACATCAGACAACAAAATAATACTTTTTCATTCCAGTAGAATCACTATCAAAGCTGCACCCTTAATAGGAAATCTTGGACTGGAAGGGATGGAAGAGGATTATGTAATACATTCTACTACACTTAAGTGCTCCCTCTTACAGACACTATCTCTTGTTCTTGAAAAGCTACACAAATCTCTGAGCAAAGGAAGGTGCTGATGTATAATTTTCCTCCAAGATTGATTTGAGAATCAGAATGTTCTTCCTTATATTTTACATAAACCCAGTATGTTACTCTCTGAGGCTTTCTTCTTCAATTTTTCCATCTGTAAATTGAACCTTTGTTTTAAAAACATACTAAAAGATCCTTTGTCTGAATTGGAATTCATTGGGAAAGCAGATCCTGAATTTAGAGTGTTAGAGAAATAAGATGATATTGAGATCAAACTCAAGATTTTGAAAGAGATGGGCCCTAAGCCATCAGTTTACCAAGTATATTGAGGATCATAAATGTCTACCTTGCCTTCTTCAATATATTAATATTTACTGGTGTTACCATGACAACTTTACAGAGCCAGCTTTCTGCTTTCTGGGCACTTGATCTAATCTGGAACATATATCTGCTTTGTATATATGCAATTGTACAATAATAGAAAACATTTCTTTCAGTTTGTCCTTATCCCACCTCTATCCTTTCTGAAATTATAGATAGTGATGGGTCTATAAGAGTCCAATGCAATCAGTAGGGACTTGTTTGAAATAGGAAAATGTTTTTATCTACAGACCATGCATTTTATTGCTCTCCAAGAAAGCCTCATCCTGTAGGTTAACACGACCCTGTTCCTGGTGCCCATAAGTTGCCACGTTCTCTTCCAGATACCAAGATTGGTTCTCATCAAAGATCAAAAATAACAGAGCAAATTCTCGGTCCATGTCACTTCGTCCTCCGTGGGGCTTTAGGATGCCCTTTCGGCAGATGGCTAAGGGGCCCACCAGGCCACTATACATGTCCTGAGGAAGGGAAGAAGAGGAGAGAGATTGAGATAGGATTATTCCTGGGTAGCAATGCTCTATAAGAAGCTAGGTTCACATGCACACCCACTGTGCACCTTAGCACTTCATCACAAAGCTTTACATTTTGAGCACCCTATTATGTTACTTGAATTCCTTCTAACTACCATTTTGGGACATATGAAAAATATACAATCTAACTCAGGCTTTTGATAGGTTGAGCTATTCATTGATTTCTAAACTCACCATGTATTTTCACAACTCAGTCCCTTTCTTTGTGTTCTTCCCATTGCCTGAAATGCCTTCCCCTCTACCTCATCCTTCATTACTTGTGGGATACTGTAATTCAGCTTTCATGACTCCAGTGCATGTACCTTCCATTATTATTCTTTCTCTAGATTCTGTCTTGCTCAAATAGACTATACTCTTTCTTTCTTTTTAGATGGTGTTCTTTGAAGGCTAAAAATGTATCTTACAATTGTATCACTTAAAACAGTGAATAGCAAATGTCTGCAAATAGATGAATGGATTGAAAAATGTGGCACATATACTCTATGGAATACTATACAGCCATAAAAAGACCCTGACATTTGATAGAAAGTGACTAAATATGGGAGATTTATTGCTGAGTGAATCAAGCTAGGCTATGAAATATATATATA